GTTCCGAGTTACCCCTCGGCCAGAATAAACCCTCTTCCTCTAATCAACTGGTGCCTGGAGTCTTCTGTTTGCGTAGGTTTCCTGCTACAGGATGAGAGAGGATACCCGAGAAGGGAGAGGTCTAGGAGAACAGGCCTTCTCAAGGAAACCACAAGGATACACCTGCAGGGTCCTCTCCATGGTGACTCAGCTCTTGGGAATTTGTAAACTTAACTTCCTGGAACTTGGAGATTTCCACTTCTGTGAAATCTTGTAGTTCTTTGGGGGCTGGAATAGCATCTTCCGCTGAATTCAAAATGGCCAATGAATAAGGTACCTATGGGTTGGAACTTTTTGCCTGTTGATAAAAAGGGAAAGACCAAGCCAGTTGGGGAGTGTGGCCATTTGGAATTCTTCTAAGCCGTAAGCTCCCGGCCAGTGAATAAAGTCCTTCCTCTTGTAAACATGGTGTTTGGGTGCTCTTTCTTCCCCTTGGGCCTGGTCTTACTGCAACAGGGAGAGCTTTCCCCTGGTGCTGTGGGTTCAGAACAATTGCTGGGGACTCCAGGACCTCTGAGCGCTACTTCTCTTTGTTCAGTTCTCAAACAGAGAAAAGGGGTGGATACAGAATGGGTTCAGAAGCCTTCTAACATTTCCTTTGGCTCCTTTCTTTTGGAGCCAAGGGGTATTGCAAAGTTCATTTCCCAACAGTCTCTCTCCCGTGACCTGGAAGTCCACAGCCACACTATGTGCTTTTAGGGTCTGAAGGGCATCCAAATTATTAGTCTCATATTATAATTGTAGAGAAAAACAGGATACAGTTAAGTGGTCCATTGCTTGCCATACATCTTCAATCCTAGACAACAGCCCCCAAACATGTTACCAGAATTCTTTCTTCCGTAGGTCCTTGGTCTCAGGGATGCAAAGAATGAACCTAGGAAAAATGAACCCACTGACCACAGATGAGCAGTAAGATAAGATTTTGTTATACAGAAAGGAATACAGGGGAGGAGAACAGCACAAAGCTTCTGTCAAACAGTAAGACCCAAGTCGGAAGTCTCCCCCGGGTCCTTTGTAAACATAGTATGGAGAATTACATTTTGGCCAAGACTTCGTAGGTGGAAAAACATGTCTTCAAAGTTAACAAGTGCATTAATAAATGAATAAATAGAGTCCCTCCTATGGCAAGGTTATCAGGTCTTTGCAGTGTTTCTCTCTGGGAAGAGATAAGGGCGTGTGCACCCTAATCAAGGCGGAGCCACACAACATTTCAGGTTGTTTTATTCCTGACCTTGCTAGAGCCCAGAAGGTGTAGTCTGGAAAGGGCAGCCTGTTTGTGCCTAGCTATGATTTCTGAGCTCACCTGGGCCTAGAGAATGGGTGCGGGGGCCTGTCCAACGGGAGCCAGGATAGTGACCTTAACTCTCTTTTCAGGTATAGAGTAGTCGGGGTCCCGATCGCGCAAGCACAGGTAGGGACTTCCGGAGCTGCAGCCCTGGTTCCGCCCAGGGGTCTGAGCGGAGGAGGCGGGCATGTGGCTTGGACTCTGCCAGGGATTGGCCGACCTGAATCACCCGGCCTTGGATTGGCCGCCTGGGCAGGGCCGGGCCAAGTTTCCTGTAGCGCCATCTGTTGCCCCGCCCTTGGCGGGGGTGGTACAGCTTTAAAGAGTAGCGCTAGGCCGTGTTGCGCAAGTCTCTGGCAGCTCCTGGATCTCTGGCGTAGTCAGCGTTCCGCTAGTGGCATCTCCTGCGGCCTCCCCGAGACTTGAGCCCAGAACCATGAGCGTGGGCTTCATCGGCGCCGGCCAGCTGGCCTGTGCGCTGGCTCGAGGTTTCACGGCCGCAGGCAAGTGGGGGTAGGCGGGTTTGCGGACGGTCCCTAGACTTGGTCGGTGAACCGGCCTCCTCCACCCCGCGATTATGAATGAATGAATGAGCGAGTGAGTGAAAGGGAAATTTACGCCCGGTGGGGTAGAGGAGATTCCTGTAAGCAGCAAGTGCGTGTTTGTCCGCGTAAAGGGAAGAGGGAGACAGTTAGAGGGCTGTGGGCTTTGATTCTGCTTCCTCACGGAAAGCTCGGGGGTGAGGTGGGCCACGGTCCTCAGTTGAAAAGTCCTGTCTGTGTTCTACAGGCATCGTGTCGGCTCACAAAATAATGGCCAGCTCCCCGGAAATGGACCTGCCCACGGTGTCCGCCCTCAGGGTAGGTGTCGCGGAGGTGTGTGGGGGAAGAGGTGGGAGGCCCAGGGAGAGGGGACCTGAAACTCAAGATGACCTGAGATTGAGGATGAACTGAGTCCCCTGGCGCCTGAGCCCATGTGGTCGCTGGCTGGAGCTGAACTCCCACTAGGAGCATCGCAATCCTTCCCCCTTCTGTGGGGCAGCTGAGTGTCATCAGAGCATCTAGGTGGACAGATGTGGGATCAAATCCAGACGCTGGAATCAGTAGAGAATTAACTGTGCCAATTAGATGTGGAAAGCTCCTGGCCCATAACAGATAATAAATATCATTTTCTTTCCTTTTTTTTTTTTTTTTCCACTATTTGGCCAGGACTGGGTTTGAACCTGCCACCTGCGGCATATGGAGCCAAAGTCCTACTCCTTTAAGCCACAGGCGCTGCCCTAAATATTCATTTTTATTGAGTATTTTTATTCATCATTAACTAGTTGTATGACCTTAAAGTACTCAGCCACTTTGAGGGTTAGTTTACTCTTTTACAACAATAGCCACTTTGCTGTTCTCCTGAGGCATAAATGAAAGTGTTGGCCAGGCTGGTGGCTCACAGCTGTAGTCTCAGCACTCTAGGAGGCTGAGGCCCTGCGGATCTCCTGAGCTCACAAGAGCAGCCTGAGCTAGAGCAACACCCTGTTTCTAAAAATAGCTCAGTGTTATGGTAGGCCTCTATAGTCCCAGCTACTAGGGAGGCTGAGGCAAGAGAATTGCTTGAGCCCCAGAGTCAGAGGTTGCTCTGAGCTATGATGCCACAGCACTCTACTGAGGGCAAGAAAGTGAAACTATCTTAAAAAAAAAAAAGAAAGAAAGAAAATGTTGGGGAAAAAATCTGAATGAATTCATTCTGCTCTCCAAAAATGTAACATCCTGTCACTCACAACTCGGACAGTGTGGGGAAGGGATGGCCAATGAGTAGATGACAGGCAATGTCTGTGCCTAATGTGGGCTGATGTTCTGGAGGCCCCTACTTCTCAGGTTGAAGTCCTAGAGGGATGGGTGGGTGGCCTCCAGCTCAGCCCTAGACTACACAGGCTGTGCAGGCTGATGAAAAGTGGCTGGGATTGGGATAGGCCTGACCCAGTGCTGCGGCTGAGCACCAGGTACTAGCAATTCACCTTTCTTTTTGCCACTTTCCACCATGGAGCCTTCTTACCTTGGGTGCCAGAGATTGGTGGCAAGAGGGGATAGTCACTTTCTGGTTACCATGGAGAAGCTTGTCATGCCCAGTGCTTACTTGTCCAGTAGCAACACTGAGAAATTTTGTGTCAGTTGGAGTAAGGGAACAGGGCCAGGAATTCCAGGCTGCAGCTGGCAGAGTGGACGTGGCAGGGCCTCAGCTGCTCCCTGGGAGTCCTGGGCTTAGCCAGGCTGCCCTGGCACTATGAGTGGGGAATCTCTTCTTGCAGAAGATGGGTGTGAACCTGACTCGAAGCAACAAGGAGACAGTGAGGCACAGTGATGTCCTTTTCCTGACTGTGAAGCCACACATCATCCCCTTCATCCTGGATGAGATTGGGGTTGACGTGCAAGCCAGGCACATTGTGGTCTCCTGTGCAGCTGGTGTCACCATCAGCTCTGTGGAAAAGGTACCATCTCAGTCCTTATGTCCCTTGTGTGAGGGGAGGAGTGGCCTGAATAGCTTGAGAGTGGAAGCTGATGGGTGGGTGCGAGTGGGAGCGGTGGCCTGCTCACTAACTCAGCCCTCTCTCTCGCCACAGAAGCTGATGGCATTCCAGTCAGCCCCCAAAGTGATTCGCTGCATGACTAACACACCTGTGGTTGTGCGGGAGGGAGCGACAGTGTATGCCACGGGTACCTACGCCCTGGTAGAGGATGGGCAGCTCCTGGAACAGCTCATGAGCAGCGTGGGCTTTTGCACCGAGGTGGAGGAGGACCTGATTGATGCTGTCACAGGGCTCAGTGGCAGCGGACCTGCCTATGTAAGGCCTTCATTACTTGTTTAGCCTTCCGGGAACCTAGAGAACAGAGTGGACTGGTGGGCAGGCATGGGCTGAGGGTGGCACCCACCTCTTAAGCATAGCTGGCTGGTGGAGGAGGCTGAGCTTTGGAGCTAGTTCCAGACATCAGAAAGAGTAGACTGAGGGAGGGTGCCTGCCACCTGGGGCTCAGTGAGTATCTCCACAGGCGTTCATGGCCCTGGATGCGTTGGCTGACGGTGGGGTGAAGATGGGCTTGCCACGGCGCCTGGCAGTCCGATTGGGGGCCCAAGCCTTATTGGTCAGTATCTTTCCCCTGTACTCATTTGGGGCTAGGGTGTGGGGTGGGATTCTTGTGGGTCACTGAGCTCGGGCAGGGGTGGTTGGGAATCTGGGATAGGGATTAGACAGAACCAGTGGGCATGGGGAAACCTTTCCCAAGGAGTGCTAGTTTCTCCTCTAATGTGCCCTTCTTGCCCTAGGGTGCTGCCAAGATGCTGCTGGACTCAGAGCAGCATCCAGGCCAGCTCAAGGACAATGTCTGCTCCCCGGGGGGAGCCACCATCCATGCCCTGCACTTTCTAGAGAGTGGGGGTTTCCGTTCTCTGCTCATCAAGGCAGTCGAGGCCTCCTGTATCAGAACACGGTGAGTCCACCTTGTTCTCCTTCTTCCCCAGGCTCTCCACGCCCACCTGGCCCCTGGGCTGGGCTGGGTGCTGTGTCATGGAACCTGCTGTTTGAGTCCAGTTCACAGGCCTTACTCCACTTAATTCTCAGTTCTCTTAGATGGAATTAACTCTGATTTAAAGATGGGAATGTTGAGGCTCAGGGATAGTTTTCCCAAAGTCAAACAGCAAATAAGTGATGGATGCAGGATTCGACTTTACATCTATGACTCCAAACTGTCATTTTCCACAGTCTCCCCATGTAAGCACATATAGCACCTGAACCTCTATGTCTAACTGGGATTAAATGATATAAATAAGACTACTTAATTAAATAGTACCCTTTTTTTGGAGACAGAGTCTCACTATGTCGCCGTTGATAGAGTACCGTGGCATCACAGCTCACAGCAATCTCAAACTCTTGAGCTTAGGTGATTCTCTTGCCTTAACTTCCCAAGTAGCTGGGACTATAGGCGACTGCCACAACACCTGGCTATTTTTTTGTTGTTGTTGTTGCAGTTGTCATTGTAGTTTAGCTGGCCTGGGTTGGATTCCAACCCACCAGCCTCGGTGTGTGTGGCAGGTGCTGTAACTACTCACTGTGTTACAGGTGCCGAGCCTAAACAGTACTTTGAAGTAGCTTAGAGGAATATTTGTTTTAGAACCCTAACCTTTTGGTAGATCAACAAGGGTGAGAGTTGTGCAGGTAAGAAAGACTCACAAAGCTCTGGCTCCAGGGCTTATTGCTTGCCTTCAACCTTTCTGGGCTTTGTCTGCAGAGAGCTGCAGTCCATGGCTGACCAAGAAAAGATTTCCCCAGCTGCCCTTAAGAAGACCCTCCTGGACAGAGTGAAGCTGGAATCTCCCACAGTTTCCACACTGGCCCCCTACAGCCCAGGGAAGCTTCTTACAAGAACCCCAGCTGGAGGAGGCAAAAAGGACTAAGGTAGCCTCTCCTGTCCATGATCCAGAGCCCTTGATTGAAGGGCTTTGGCTCTCCCTATTGCGCTTCCCCACCCAGCTGTGCAAGGAGAGAGCAGGCTTAGGTAATTTTTAGATCCTTGTGATAAAGCCTTAAATTTGATCAGACCAAACAGCACTAGTTTCCTCTCCTGCCCTATGTTGGAAAATGCTCTGAAGAAGTGAATGATGCTGGGAGCCAGACACAGCCCCACATACCTCCTAGTTTGTCAGAGAGGAAGGGGTTTGGACTGCAGTCAGAGCCCAGTTCAGGGGCCAGGGTTGAGGGGAGGCCTGGAGAGGACCTTCAACTGGGCTTCTTCCTTGAAGTCCAAAGCAGGGTTGGTTTGATGCCAAGGCAAGGAAGTGAGAGAGAAAATGTAAAAGAGGCTTTTTCTTTTTCTTTTTTTGAGACAGAGTTTCCTTTTGTCATCCTTGGTAGAGTGCTGTGGCATCATAGTGCACAGCGACCTCAAACTCTTGGGTTCAAGTGAGTGATTCTCTTACCTCAGCCTCCCTAGTAGCTGGGATTACAGGTGCCCAGCACAACTCCTAAGTTTTTTTTTTTTTTTTTCTAGAGATGATGACTCCTTCTGGCCCAGGCTGGTCCTAAACCTGTGAGCTCAGACAATCCACCCACCTCGGCCTCCCAAGTGCTGGGATTATAGGCGTGCGGCACCTCGCCCAGTGAAAGGGGCTTTTTCTGAATTGATAAATGGAAAAGAAGCAAGCAGCTTAATCATCAGTGAGTTAAAAGTGTATAGAATTAGACTATGCTTCTTGTTAGACTATGAAACTCTTGTTTCATAAGATGTACCACTTAAAGAGTATAGTTCATTGCTAAGTTTAGCTGTTTTAATAAAGATTATTTTTTTAATATCCTGCTTTTCAGGTTTTTTTTTTTTTTTTGAGACAGAGTCTCACTATGTCACCCTTGATAGAATGCTGTGGAATCACAGCTCACAGCAACCTCCAACTCCTGGGCTCAAGCTAGTCTCCTGCCTCAGCCTCCCAAGTAGCTGGGACTACAGGCACCTACCACAACCGTCTGCTATTTTTTGGTTGCAGCCATCATTGTTTGGCAGGCCCGGGCTGGATTCGAACCCACCAGCTCAGGTGTATGTGGCTGGCACCTTAGCCACTTGAGCCACAGGCGCTGTGCTGCAACCTCAAACTCTTGGGTTTAAGCAATCCTCCTGCTTCAGCCTCCCAGGTAGCTAGGACTACAGGCGCCCACTACAACACCTAGCTATTTTTTGATGCAGTTGTCATTGGTGTTTAGCTGGCCTAGGCTAAGTTCGAATCTGCCAGCTTTGATGCATGTGGCCATAACCATTGTGCTATAGACACTAAGCCAGCAGTCTTTTTAATAATTGAGATCAGGAGGAAGGGGGGAAAAAAGAAAGAAAGGATAAAAAAGAATGACAATCCTGTGATGACACGCCAACAAATGGGCACCATTCGGGGCAGAGGGAACCAGAGCAGCTAAGAAAAAGTGCTTCCAATGGGGTCAGACTGGCCACTTCAAGAGACACTGCCCTCAGCAGCAGCACCTGTCTGGCAAGCCACTGGGCCCCTGTCCAGAATGCAAGGGTGACCACTGGAGGGCAGCCTGTCCTCAGAGGCGAAGGCCTCCTGGGACAATGATCCCCATCAGCCCCCAACCTGGGCTGAGAGTGCCTGGGGCAGATTCTCCTGGCTCCAGCTTGTGTCATCACCTCTCAAGAGCCCTGGGTCTGCTTCATAGTGGAGAGCCAGGAGACAGAATTTCTTCTGCACACTGGAGCAACCTTCTCTGTACTCTCTAACCTTGGTTTTCTATTCCCCCAAATCTGTAACTATACAGGGGGTATCTGGAAAGCCAGTACCAAATTTTTCTCTCAATTAGGGTGACTGGCTGTTCTCTCACGCCTTCCTAATTATGTCTGAAAGTCCTTTTTGATAGGATCAAGACCCACCTAAAAGAATCCGCCCCCTTGTACAAGTGAATTTTTGTAGAACTAGAGTATAAATGTTTTAACACAATAACTAAGTAAATGACACAAAGTCTATGTTAACCAGTTTGAAAACATTTCAAATTGTATATGAAAACACTACACTGTACCCCATGTTTGCATTAATGTACACAGCTATCATTTAATAAAAAAAAAATAATAAAAGTTAAAAAAAGGAAATAAAAATATACAAATTAGGAAAGAAGAAAAAAAAAAGAATCCGCCCCCTACCCTCTCCACCAGATGTCCCACCTAAGAGAGGTGAATAGGTCAACCCCTACCCTATCCCATCGATGTCCTACCTCAGGAAAGGTAAATGGGCCACCCCCACCCTTACAACTATAACAAAAAAATAGCCGGGCGTTGCGGATGCCTGTAGTCCCAGCTACCTGGGAGGCTGAGGCAAGATAATCACTTAAGCCCAAGAGTTTGAGGTTGCTGTGAGCTGTGATGTCATGGCACTCTACTGAGGGCAACATAGTGAGACTCTGTCTCAAAAAAAAATAAGTAAATAAAATCCCCATTCTCCATTACCCACATGTGGATTTCCTCATGGCCTGCTTAGAAATCTTGCCTCACCTACACCCAGGTGGAATAAAACCATTTTAATTGCACAAGCTTCGCCTCCGTTTTCCTTTTGTCTGGAGCCTCGGAATAATCTTTCCTCTTTGGCTTTGTAACCTTTCACTTTTCCCTTTTGGGGAGGGACATACTAACCCGGTAAGAACCATTTATATGAATATGAGGCAAGAACCTACATTTGTGCCTTCCCTAATTAGAGACAGAAATTAACCCAGAAGTATGGGTGAACGAGGGACAGGTGAGAAAAGCAAATATGCTCAACTGGTCCAGATTACCTCTAGGATTTAAGGACAGTTGCCTTAGCCCAAGACTTGAGTCATTTCTCATCCCACAGGGACTCGTATTCAGTAAGTAGATGACATTTGGGGGGAGGGGCAGACCAGATGCAGAGGAATGCCACAAAGCTCCCCAAGCTCTATAAACTTTCTAGTTGATTATGGGCACAAAGTTTCCATGACTAAAGCCCCATTGTGTCTACTGGAGATGCACTATTTGGGTCTCCAACTTTCACAGGGAAAGAACCTTGGGTAAAGAAAGTATAGAACCAATATTGGCTCACTCACCCTAAAATTTAAACTCTCAGACAGCTTGGAGGCTTCTTGGGAATTACAGGCTTTTGCAGACTCTGGATTCCTGGATATAGTGAAATAACCAGACCACTCTATTTTTTAATTAAAAATGCTTAAACGGAATGCCGGGCACGGCGGCTCATGCCTGGAATCCTAGCACTCTGGGAGGCTGAGGTCGGTGGATTGCTTGAGCTCACAGGTTTGAGACTAGCCTGAGTTTGTTGCTGTGAGCTATGACACCATGGCACTCTATCCAGAGGGACAGCTTGAGACTCTATCTCAAAAAAATAGTTCTGGTCACTCTAGAATGGGAAGCAGAGGCAGATAAGGCATTCCAGTAGCTGAACAATGCCCTTTTACAGGCCCCTTCTTTAAGTCTTCCTACTGGACAACAGTTTAATCTATACATTACAGACCAGAGCGGAATTGCCCTAGGGGTCTTGACCAGGGTCCAGTTTTGCAACCTGTAGCTTATCTTAGTAAATTGACACTGTGGCCAAGGGATGGCCCCATTGTCTGCAAGTTGTAGCAGCTTTAGCCCTCTTAACCCCAGAGGCAACTAAACTAACTTTGGGAAGAGA